AGACTCCGTCTTCCATGGAGAGAAAGGACTAACCTTATCGCTCTGTAGTGAAGATGAGTGTATCCTTCACTTTGCCAGTGTTTGACAAGATCCTTCAGAATCTCGATGTTGACATATTGTTCTTTTGTGGTGGAGGTAATGACACACTGATCCATTCTGGAGGATTAGACATACTCCTTGACTTGTGGTCTATTGGTAAAGATAAGTCAGGAAATGAATCTAAGGGTAGATCTTTGTCTTCTAAAGATATTATAATGACTCAAAAGAGGACTGTAGGTTTTCAGAGATCTAGGCATCTTCCAGGACATAGAAATACTATATGAGGTTTTTTATTTTAGAGAAATGGTTTTTGAGATTATTTTGGGAAGAAAAAGAGTTAAGTTTAGTAAAACGGAACCGAAATTGGTTAATGGTGTTTGATTATCTATATTTTAAAGTTTCTTTTACTCACTTTTCACGTATAATTTCTACTATCTAATTTGTGTTAAAATTGAGATAAGAGTTATATATATATATATATATATATATATATATATATATATATATATATATATATATTAATATTTTTTATTTGAATTCGATTTGTTATTAAATATTTATCAAACATTATATTTATAAAAAATATAAATATTTTTTTTCATCCTATTGTGGATTGAAAATAATAAACAACTTTATTTTTTAAAATTTAAATATTATTTATAATTAAAATTGTACATATGATGTTTTTCTTTGTTTTATCATGATTGAAAATAATTAGCGAATTTGTATTAAAATATTATTTGATAATTTATATTTTGAAGTTTAAAATTATTAAAAATGTATAACTTGAACAGATATTATTAATTACTTAAAACCTGTTCATACATTTATGAATATAAATATAAATTTTATATACAAGATATTATTATTTTTATTGCACGTATAAATTTTTCATGTAATTATTATTACCCACATCACCTATCGAAGTAATTTAACAATTTAGAGGGTAAAAAAGGTAATTTTTAATTCAATGGACTAAAAAATATTTAAATTAAGAGATTACAAATATATTAAACTCATCATTTTATTAAGATAAAAAATGTTATATTTCTTTTTCACTTTAAAAATAAACTCATTATTAAAAAAAATAAAGAAATAAGAATCAAAATAACACTATATATATATATATATATATATATATATATATATATATATATATATATAACAAAATGTTATTATAAACATTATAATTTATTTTCATCTATGCAGGAATATTTTATTCTTAAAGAAGACTAATGTCACAAACCGTAAGAGGTAGGTAACACTTACCATAATTTTATAAATAAAATATATTTTTAATTGAAGTGTTTAATTATAATTAGCTTTATATTATAATTTTAACTTTTCTATTATAATTAATTTAAATTTTAAATATTTTCAAAGTTATAAAAATTTAATCAAACGTACTTTTACACATATCCTATTCTAATATTTTTTATGAACTACATTTTCCGATAATATAAAAGCATAAGGTAGAACAAATTCTCAAATATTTTTTAAAAACTTTGTTATTATTAATTTTTTTTTCTGAAATATATGTGATATCTTGAAGATACACGCCGACAATGGGGATCTTGCCTTTTTTTTATGATCAGCGATATCATCATAGATTGAAAGATTAAGGTACTCGAACTAATAACATTTTCAGGTTTTTTGAAGATTGTCTTGACAGTGTCATCTATATATCTTTTGAAGGTCATCTCTGTGAACTTGATAGACTTCTGGTTGACGTGAAACTTTTCAATAGTTAGTTACCCACTACATCGGAATCAACTTCTGCAGCTCTTGTTGAGTGGGGGATATGAATTATGGAGGGTGTTTCATCTTGGTTATTAGCCAAGACGAATAATGTTCCATCTTTACAGGATGGTAGCGCAAGATTTATCGCATAATCTTGCAACTTATAAATAATTTGATGGTGAAGGGTGACTAATAATGCATCAACTACCTGTTGAGTTCTAATGATATTTCAAGCTAACGTTGAAGTTGAGAAAGATGGTGATGACTACATTCCCAGTATGGAAAGTAGTCAGAATAATGCCTATGACAACATGTTCATAGTGGAGATAACTAGATTTTAGAAAGACTCTTATTGAGACGGGTAGACCCCGTCTTCCATGGAGGGAAATGACTAACCTTATCGCTCTGTAGTGAAGATGAGTGTATCCTTCACTTTGTCAGTGTCTGACAAGATCCTTCGGAATCTCGATGTTGATGTATTGTTCTTTTGTGGTGGAGGCAATGACACACTGATCCATTCTGGAGGATTGAACATACTCCTTGACTTGTGGTCTCTTGGTAAAGATAAGTCGGGAAATGAATCTAAGGATAGATATTTTATCTTTTAAAGATAGTATAAGGACTCAAAAGAGGACTATAGGTTTTCAGAGATCTGGACATCTTCCGGGACATAGAAATACTCTATGAGGTTTTTTATTTTAGGGAAATGGTTTTCGAGATTATTTTGGGAAGAGAATAGTTGAATTTAGTAAAAGGAAACCGGAATTGGTTGATGATGTTTGATTATCCATATTTAAAAGTTTTTTTTACTCACTTTTCATTTATAATTTTTATTATCTAATTTGTGTTAAAATTAGGAAAAGAGTTATATATATATATATATATATATATATATATATATTAATATTTTTTATTTCAATTCGATTTGTCATTAAATATTTATCAAACATTATATTTATAAAAAATTATAAATATTTTTGTTTTCATCCGATTGCGGATTGAAAATAATAAACGACTTTATTTTTAAAAATTTAAATATTATTTATAATTAAAATTGTACATATGATGTTTCTCTTTCTTTTATGATGATTGAAAATAATTAGCGAATTTGTATTAAAATATTATTTGATAATTTATATTTTGAAGTTTAAAATTATTAAAAATTATAACTTGAACAGATATTTTTAATTACTTAAAACCTGTTCATACATTTATGAATATAAATATAAATTTTATATACAAGATATTATTATTTTAATTGCACGTATAAATTTTTCATGTAATTATTATTACCACATCACCTACCGAAGTAATTTAACAATTTAGAGGGTAAAAAAAGTAATTTTTAATTCAATGGACTAAAAAATATTTAAATTAAGAGATTACAAATATATTCAACTCATCATTTTATTAAGATAAAAAATGTTATATTTCTTTTTCACTTTAAAAATAAACTCATTATTAAAAAAAATAAAGAAATAAGAATCAAAATAACACTGCATACATATATATACCTCCCAACAAAATGTTATTATAAACATTATAATTTATTTTCATCTAATTTATATTTGTTTGAACATGACATGCAGGAATATTTTATCCTTAAAGAAGACTAATGTCACAAACTGTAGCAGGTAGGTAACACTTACCATATTTTTATAAACAAAATATATTTTTAATTGAAGTGTTTAATTAGAATTAGCTTTATATTATAATTTTAACTTTTCTATTATAATTAATTTAAATTTTAAATATTTCCAAAGCTATAAAAATTTAATCAAATGTACTTTTACATATCTCCTATTCTAATATTTTTCATGAATTACATTTTCTGATAATATAAAAGCAAAAGGTGGAACAAATTCTCAAATATCTTCTAAGAACTTTGTTACAATTTTTTTTTTCTGAAATATATGTGATATCTTGAAGATATAAATGACGTAAGGTTAGAGTTAAACCCAGGTACATCTGATTTACCTTGATGAATGCTACAGCAAGTCATCAACAGCAAAGTTGGCAACGCGACACATAACAGGCTTTTGCAAGCAGCTGTCAAGACCACACCACTCTCTCTGGTTAAATCACAGACATTCATACGTGTACATGTCTTCTTCCTAATATCACCCTACATTCTTCCACTAACCCTAAATCTCTATAAATAGAGAAGTAAAGAAAAACAAAAAATGTTCGCTTTAATTGAAAAACACTAATAAAAATTACAAGAGACGAATTGTGAATACCCATTTTCAAGAAAGGAAGAAAGAACAAACTTGAGACTGAATAATGAATACAAAATCATGTGGGAAGAAGACTGGTAGTCTTTGTAACATCTCATTATTAAACAATCAACATCTTGCTTTAGCCCTGGTCTTCACGTGATATGATGAGGAATAAGTTTCTGAGCGTAATTAGCATATTTTATTAGGTGAATCTAAACGTTTATATTTATTATACTATAATAATAAGCCTCCCATAAAATTTCAATCACAATAAGTCTATGTTATTAAGTTTGTAGATTTAAGCTATAGACTAAATTTTATTTGTCCCAGTCTTACTGAACCTTGTTCTTTATTTATAATAATAATAATAGTAGTAAATAATAGTGGGTTTGGAGAAATCTTATAGAATCGCCCCGTAGCGTTAGGCAAGGCCAACAAAACAGGACCCACCTTCTACTTTTACATGGTCTTGATTAGGTGACTTTTAACAACTAAAAAGTTTTATCCAAACATCAGAACATACTTTTGAATCCTCAACTTAATACTAAAAGAGGAGATAATCTTTGGATGTTTTAATCACCATGAGCGGGAGAAAAGCTCAATAATAACTCTACTTTTCTGACAATCAGCTTAAAAAAAAGTATACAAGACAAAAGAATTAAGTCAAAGTGATGGAGAGAAAAGACTTTGGCAATGTTGTGTTTGGAATGCATTAACAGTAGTGTTTGTAGGGTGGAATTGATTATGGTGAGAAGAGATAAGAGTGTAGGAACAGGGAAGTAAAGAAGGACCAGTACAACCTCAACTGCCAGGTTCAGGGGTTCCTTGGAGTAGCATTAAAGATACTGTTCCAGATCTTCCCTCACACAGTACCACCACCACCACCCAAATGACAATTCTTCCCAAACTGATGCAATAAAATGGAAGCCAACAACTTTTATAAGAGGAAAGATGCATTGATGTCTTGATGACTTTTAGTTGGGAGAAAAACAAAAAGAAGAAATGGGTTGTGGTTCTGAGCATTTTTCCATGATCTTCATCATCACCCTCTTGATGCTCCTATCATCACAAAGCACCCTCATTTTGACTGTGGCGGGTTCTCTGTTGAATGCAGTTGGAAACTTCCAAGTTCGTGGCCTACCAGAGATGTATTTCATTCAAGAGAATGATGAAAAGGAGATTAAGAAAATCTCAGGACGGGATGAGAATGAAGAGAAGCAAGGTTTGATAGTGGACAAGTTTAGATCCTTGCTTGGACTCAAGAGTTTCCACACCAAAGTACCGTCTAATGGTGACTTGGACTTTCTCTCTCCCTCACCTTGTCCAGCACCCCTCATGGAAGAAGCTCAGGCTCCACCTCCTTCTCCTTCTCCACTTCCACACGTGCACCTTCATTCCCATCATCCACGGCATCATAAGAATCCACCGCTTCACCAAACTCATCAAGAAGATAGAGGCAAGGCCAAAAGAATACTAATAGCTGTTCTTGTATCTGCCGGGGTTGCTACGTTGATTGGTGCTTGTGGATTATTCTTGGTGTGGAGGAAATTCTCAAATCACACAAAGAAACGCAAAAGAACAATGCCACTATATAGCAAGAGCAAGGGAAGTGGAGGTACTTATCAAAGTTCATCAAGCAAGGTGAGTTTAAACTCAGGAGTAGATCTGTTTTATCTTAATGCTTTAGGCGAGGACATAGAGCAACACGCTTGCACCTTGAAAAAGACTTGCAAGGATGGTTTAGAGTATGATAATGTCAACGGTTCTTCCACGAAGGAAATTGCATCTGTTCATGAAGATGCAGAATCAGTGAAAGGTGAAGCTGAATCTGATGGCGGCAACTCTTCTTCTGGGGATAAGATTATCCCTGAAGATTGCCATTCATCAGACGATGAAAGTTTTCATTCCTTTGTCGATTCGCACTCAAATAATAGACTTTCCAATGCTTCAGCTTGTAGCCTTAGTGACACAAACTCTCTGTCCCGTCAAAATTCAAGTTCAATACCAAACCAATTCCCCAGCTCTCCACATAACTCAATCTCAAGTAAACAATCTCACCAACCATCAAATAGTGAAAAACATGAAGAGAAAGAGACTGAGACCACTCACCAATGTTCAAAAATATTTACTTCCCCTCCTCCACCTCCTCCTCCTCCTCCTCCTCCTCCTCCTCCACCACCACCACCTCCACCAATGCAAATGCCATTATTTTCTTTGCATTCTCTCAATTCTTCTAGAGTCTCCTCTCATTCCCCACTTTCTTTGACATCTAATAATTTATCATCTCCGGTAAATTCGGACACTTCCTCAAGTTCAAATCAAAGTCCAGAAAAGGAGTTGCCTTCTACACCCGAACCCTACCCTACACATTCTCCTCCCAAGATCCCTCCACCACCATGCCCACCTCCATTTCTTAAAGGAAATATTAACAGTGCCAAAACCCCACCTCCTCCACCATCTCAACTCCCTCAATTTACCCCACTTGGTAAAGATGGTGCACCATTGCCAAAACTAAAACCTCTTCACTGGGATAAAGTAAGAGCCGCACCAAATCGCACAATGGTTTGGGATAAACTACGATCAAGCTCATTCGAGTAAGTTCAACTTCATTAGTAATATTTTTCATTTGTTTTTACAGTTTAAGAACATTATAAATTTGATTCAGGTTGGATGAGGAAATGATCGAGTCTCTTTTTGGTTACAACTTGCAATCAATTAAGAACGAGGAAACAAAGAGTAAAACCCCGTCTCCTAGCAAGCATGTACTTGAGCCAAAGCGCCTGCAGAACATAACTATACTCTCTAAAGCTCTGAATGCGACAGCTGAGCATGTCTGCGAGGCCTTAATGCAAGGTAAAGTGACTCCTCCATTATGAAAATATGCTTAAAACAAGGGTCACTTCCATGTGGTAAATAAAATCATTGTTTAAAAAGGTTCCTATCTCCAAAGCGCATCTTCTCATAAGTATACTTATTATAATAATAATAATACAAAGTGATAACTGCCCCATACTGAAGATATAAAGTATTTCTTAATCAAGTAACAATGTAATAATAATCAATTTTGTTATGAACACCAAGTAAAATCGCACACCGACTTTTATTTACGCAGCATCAGAGTATTCATGTGCATTTATTCCATATGCCGGAGAAAACTGATGGTCATATTAATACTGCCGAAGGTCTTATTGTTATCTTGAAAATCAGGGAAGGGGTTGTCTTTGCCCCAACTAGAGGCACTTGTGAAGATGGTACCCACCAAGGAAGAAGAATCCAAGCTCTTCAATTATAAAGGTGACATCAATGAATTGGGGTCCGCCGAAAGGTTCGTGCGAGCAATGCTTGACGTGCCATATGCCTTTCAAAGAGTAGAAGGCATGCTTTTTAGAGAGACATTTGACGATGAAGTAGTTCACCTCAGGAACTCGTTTTCAATGCTTGAGGTACCCATCAAAGACAAAACTTAGATATCGATCTTTACATGTTTTTAGTGCTATTTTTTCGATCAAAGCTAGAATATGAAGTAGGTACACCTAATAATGGTTGCATTAAATGTTAACATAAATGATAAGATAAAACTCTATCTTTGGTCAGAGAACTTGGTTTCTTAGTTTTGTTTAGACACCAAACGAAGGTGAAAATTTCACCCCATTGAAAGAAAGAGGAAACTTTATGAATTCTCTGACATTGTCTTTTCCCAATTGCTACAGGAAGCATGCAAGGAACTACGATCAAGCAGGCTCTTCTTAAAATTACTAGAAGCAGTGCTCAAAACGGGAAACCGTATGAACGTTGGAACAATCAGAGGGGGTGCTAGAGCATTTAAGCTCGATGCCCTTCTCAAGCTTGCAGATGTTAAGGGAACTGATGGGAAAACCACGTTGCTCCATTTTGTTGTTCAGGAGATTGTTCGTTCGGAAGGAATAAGAGTTTCAGATAGCATTATGGGAAAAATCAGCCAGAGAAGTAAGAACAGAACGGAGGAAGAGAAGGAAGAAGATTACAAAAGAATGGGACTAGAACTTGTTTCTGGTCTCAGCACTGAGTTGTACAACGTGAAGAAAACAGCTACAATTGACTTGGATGTTCTTGCGAGCTCTGTGTCGAACCTATCGGAAGGAATGAAAGAGCTGCAACATCTAGTGGAGAAGGAACTGCATAAAGATGAGAGAAGCATAAACTTTGTGCAGTGTATGAAGTCATTCCTGAACTATGCTGATGCAAACTTGAAGGAGTTGCGAGGAGATGAAGATAGAGTATTGGCACGTGTGAAAGAAATCACTGAATATTTTCATGGGGATGTGAGCAAAGAAGATGCAAATCCTTTAAGGATATTTATGATTGTGAGAGATTTTCTGGGGATGTTAGATAATGTGTGTAAAGAACTTAGAAAGTCTAAAGCTCCACGAAGTCCAAACCCTCTTGCTATGCTCCCTTTAGATAGATCATAAATTAGAATTAAACACTGTCTCTTGTGTTCATAGGAATTGAAATTTTAAAACAAACTGAGTGTAACTTTATTTTTGTTTTTATGGAGTTTTGGAGTATTTGGATTTTGTATTCACTGACTTTCCTAATCATATCAAACTTGGATTGATTAAAACTTTCCTCTGTTCTTAGGAAATGATTAACTAGGGGACAAATAATTAAATTTAAAATAAAGTGCTGTCCCTTTTTTTTTTCTACGCTAAGAATCATGTTTATCAGTGGAAGACGGAAACAAACTAAAATTCAATAGAGATATGAGAATATCTCTAAGTTAATGGTTCGTTAATTTAACTATGTTATATTAAGAATAATTGAGTATTTTTTATATTCGATAAATTTTAGGATCTATCGATTCGAAAGTTTATCTAACACATTTTTTTTAATTCATTATTTTGAAATTATATATATATATATATATATATATATATATATTCTCTTATTTATTCTTAGATGTTATTAAAATAAAAATTTATTTTTAATTTATATAGAGTATAATTTCTTTTATATCTTCCTACAATAACAAATTATGGCGCATAATAAATTTATTAAAAATCATAATTAAAATATTTTATTTTCGATTTACAAAAAAACACTTAACTATTAAAATTGTTAATAATAAAAAGTTAAAAAAAACATGTTATATATTATTAATTAAATGATATTTTTAATAACGTGGCATTCATTTTCTTTAAATTATTTATAAAATAAAATTAAAATTATATATCATATAATAAAACCTAAGTATAATTTTTTCTTCATTTGGTTCAGCGGCGGGAACCTATAAGATGATACTGATGGCATTCTTATGGAAGACATAGACCTGCGTGCGACGGTGTCGTTTAGAGGAAACGTGTGTTTTTACATTACGAACTTGCCAGTGCCTTAATTAAATACCATCGTGGTACTATCCGCTCTCAAAAAGATTTGGCGGGATTTCGTCTCAGGTATGCGCATTACTTTCTGCTGTTTGCCCCAACCCTTTGAATTTGTTCCCAACCAGAATAAAGCTTGCACAATAATCGAGGAAGAACCATAATTCCAAAACAAAAGGGGATCTTTACTTGTAATTCATGGGAAGCCATGCGATGGATTGGAACGGTACATGTTCGGACCAAGTCACTGCTGAAATGGTTGAAATGGGTTTCGAGTATTCCAACATTGTGGAAGCCATAAAAGTAGTGGGTCCATCTATTCCCAGCGCTGTGGAACACATCCTCAAATCTACTACTGGAGAAGCATCCACTACCCGCACCTCCAATTCGCATGCACGCAGTGAGGATGCTCTAAAAAAACGCCCTTTGCGCACGTGCCGTCAAGTTCGACAGTCAAAGGTATTCGACCATTTCCACTCCAATGATAATGTCAAAGAATACAAGGAGGGACACTCTCAGTTGGGAATTGATCCCAATCCCGTTGTGCTCTCAGATCCTTTTGAAGCGGGAGATTTGGATGTTGTATCTGATTGGCAGCAGAAAGTTAGCAATCTGATGATAAAGCATTTTGGTTTTTCATCCTTGAAGAGTTTTCAGAAGGAAGCCCTCTCTGCCTGGGTTGCTCACAAAGACTGTCTTGTCCTCGCTGCAACAGGATCCGGTAATGTTTGTGCCTTACCGTGTAGTGAAGTGCAGCTATTGTGCTTTTATTCATGATTATGTTTTTTGGTACAGGGAAGTCTCTGTGCTTTCAGATTCCTGCATTGTTGTCTGGGAAAGTGGTGGTTGTGATTTCGCCCTTGATAAGCCTCATGCATGACCAGTGTTTAAAGCTAACTAGACACAGGATCAGTGCTTGCTTTCTTGGCTCCGGGCAACCAGATAATACCGTTGAACAAAAAGCCATGAGAGGATTGTATAGTATAGTGTATATTTGCCCAGAGACTGTCCTAAGGTATGGTTACGGGACTTGATCAGATTGTTCTTAGCTTCAAGGACTAAAAGTTGATGTTGAAACTCATACTGTGTCTTAGAAGACTTAGGTTATGCTTGGATAATTTTTTCCATAAAAATTTATAGGAAATGAAAATAAGGTAAAATTGAATTAAGCTCTTCATGAGCTAAAATCAACACTTGCACTTTACTTTATGTAAACTCTTCTCATTTAACTTATCTAAAAGTTAAGGTGTATAAGTGTATTTTAGTATATGGAGAAATTTAATGCACTTTACCTTGTAAGTCTTATGGATAAAGTTATCCAAAAAAGGCCTTAATCTTTTTAGTGTTTCTTTATTCATTTAATGTTCTGTTACTATACTGCAATCCCGTGTAGATTGATTCAACCACTGCAGAAGCTTGCAGAAAGTCGTGGTATTGCTTTATTTGCAATTGATGAGGTACACTGTGTTTCCAAATGGGGTCATGATTTCCGTCCAGATTACAGGTCAGTTTATCTCCTCCAGTTCCTTATTGTTTATGGTTATTGGAGATGAACTGGATTAGTAGTGAAGTTAGAATGTCTGGAATGATCTTTAAATGAAACTTATGGTTTGCATACTGAAGAAAGTAAGATCCATTATTGGTTGATTTGATTGATTAACATGCTTATTTCTTTTGTTCTTTGTTTGTGCACACGTCACAATTTCTTGAATGTCTTTAGTATACTGTCATAAGTATTACCGTTTTTTAAAATGTTTGCTCTTGTTTCAGGCGACTGTCTGTGTTGAGAGAAAATTTCAGTACTAGCAAGCTAAAATCCCTAAAATTTGATATACCTCTGATGGCCTTGACAGCTACAGCTACAGAAAGAGTTCGAGAAGACATTTTAAAATCATTACACATGTCAAAAGAAACCAAAGTTGCTCTTACATCATTTTTTCGATCTAATTTATGCTTCATGGTGAGTTTGTTCATTCAAACTTGTATATTCGTCTCTGAATATATCACCTCATGTTACACTTAAGATTCACTGTGGCTTCATACAGGTAAAGCATAGTCGAACTTCGCGGACTTCTTATGCAAAAGATTTTCATGAATTGATTCAAGTATATGGTAGAAAGAAAAATGCTGGTGGAAATGAAAAGGTTTTCATCTCAGATGATTCAGAGAAGGTTTCTAATACCTCCGATGCTAGTAGCAGCTCTGATACAGACAGTGTTTCAACTGATGACATGGATGACAACCAAGAATATTATGCTTATAGAGATATTAATATAATGCACTCAGGAAACACACACAGTTTTTTAGCGGGAAAAGAATTGTCAGCTGAGTTCCTGGAAAATGATACTGATGCTTTTCAAAATGTGGATAACTTAGATGGTACTAATCTTTCTGCTACTTATGGGCCTCTGACTTTATTACAAATAATGTTGTTCATTAACTGAAAGCAATATTGGATCAAATAATGTTTTCTTCACATTTTGCAGTTACTCATGGTGAATTTTGTGTACTACCTCCTGACAAGGAATTGGAATTATCCGAGACAACTGACCCACCTAAGAAACCAGAAGGAAGACTTAAAATTCTTATAAGGACTTTGGAACAAGGACCAACAATCATATATGTACCCACCAGAAAAGGCACTCTGAGAATTGCGAAGTACCTATGCAAGTTTGGTGTGAAGGCTGCTGCTTATAATGCAGGGGTATGGGTTATATATATTATATTCAATCTCGTTTGATTAGATGCTAGTGAATTAAAATTTATCAGGTTGATCATGTCAATTTACCGGAGATTTTTCAATTCTAAGACATCATGAATTACTACAAGCAGAATTTATTTATATTTTGCCATTTTCACTTCTGGTTTACTTTCAAACTCTTCTGGCATGCTTTATTGTGGATTTCATCGAACCAAACTTAGTAGTTATATTGAATTTTTATCTAATAAATGTTGTCTGCACATTCTCCCCTCACCATTTAATTTATGTTTTTTTGTTGGATTTTAAACTGACCTATGAGCTCAATCTCTTTTTCCAGCTTCCCAAATTGCATCTAAGAAGGGTTCATAAAGAGTTTCATGAAAATAATTTAGAGGTATGTATGTATCTGGAGCCGGAACTAAATATTATAGATGTCCTATGAGAAGGGGGCTTTAAAGAGGGACCAAAATGTTTTATTTGAATCGACGATATATCATCTTCTCATCTTATATATGTGGTGTGCTATTCACATAACTACTTTTATTAACGGATGTTTCTTATTATCTCATTTTGATGGCTTTCTTAATATAACTTGTTTGCAGACCGGATTTCTTCCGCCCCCGTCCTTCTTTGTTAGCTTAGGCCGATTTTTACGTTCATTTTTGTAGCTTTGTCTGTTTTTAACCCTGCGCTGCCTGGCAAGCATCTAAGTTTGACATTTCTTTGTAATTGTTGCTTCTTCTTAAGTTCTTGTATAGTCAAGCTCCCCAAAAAAAATGAAGAACTGAATTTCTTGAAAGTTTTGTGATATTGTGACATGGATTTGATTTTATTTTTACCCTTGTTTATTTCTATGTTGTTTCTGAATTTTCGAAATAATTTAAATTATTTCCGTCATTCTGGAACCATATCCACACAACATGTATCCATCTGTGTTTTATGATTCAGGTTATTGTTGCTACAATAGCTTTTGGAATGGGGATTGACAAATCAAATGTCAGAAGAATCATCCACTACGGTTGGCCACAGGTCTGTTATTCAATTACGTTTTTCCAGCCATAGATAATTATAGAATTGAATTTTATCTGTATTTCCTGTGCACTCCGATGTTGATATTTTCACTAGCTGAATTGTCTTGTTTTTTGAGAAATCTCAAATAATTAAAATAGTGAAATATGTATCTTGATCAGAGTTTAGAAGCATACTACCAAGAAGCTGGACGGGCTGGTCGAGATGGGAAATTAGCAGATTGCAGTATGTTTGATTAGACTGGAATATAATTTTTACCTTATGATGCACTTTCATTCGTTGTTCTCTCTTTTTTCTAAGATTTTAAACTTATATTACTACTCCCTTGATTCACTTAAGTAGTATGTTGCTTATTATTTAT